ATGTCTCAATTCTTCCACACTGCCAGTCTTTTATGAACTGAATCACATTTCTTAAAGTTATGGAACACGGCAACCACTCCTGAACACTATTTAGCATGAAACTCAACACAAGGGTTGGTATCGAATCTCATAGTCTAGAAAAGAGGAAAACCAGAAAACCCACAGTTATTTTTGTTTTTGCCAAGAAAGGCAAGTTCTGCTTCAAAAACACCCGCCGTCCACCACCACCCACTGTCCCAGTCAGAAATCCAGAAGTCATCCTTGCCTCTTTCCTCGCCCTCACCCTCCAGATGTCAGACCCTATAGGTTCCACCTAGAATGGGTCCACTTCTCTCCATCCCTGCTGCCTGGATCACAGCAAACCACAGCTGTCCTAAAGTTCTTGTTGCTTTGAGTTTTGTCTCTCCCAGGACATCTTCTTTGCTGTGACTGGAGTGATCTTTTATAAGACGAATACGACCACATCACTTATCAGCCTAAACACTTTACTATCTCCCTCATTGCCTTCAAAAATAAAATCCAAACCCCTACAATAGAACCTCCATCATCTGGTCCCTGTCTGCCTGTCTGCCTCTTCTATCTTTACCTCCTGCTCTGTCTTCCAACTTACTGAACTTTCAGGTTTTCAAAGGAGCCAATGACTATTCTTTTGCCTCCAAGCCTTCACCCACAGTGTTCTCAGCCTCAAACACTTTTCCTCCATTTAATTCCTACTCATCCTTCAGTTTAGACATCCTTCTACCACAAAGTCTTACCTGACACGCTGGGTCCAGGTTGGTATCCCTCCCAGCTGTTCCTGGAGTCCACAGTCTTATCAGAGCAACATCAGTCTGGGCCCTACAGAAGATACTTGTTTCTTCATCTCACCTCCTTTCTGGACTATAAACTTGTCTCTTTTCTTCAACATTGTATCTTCAGCTCCAGGCACATGGTAGGAGTTCAGGGAATACCTGTTGAATAAGCAAATGAACAAGACTCAAATCTAGGACCAAGTCCAGGTTAAAATTTGATTTTAAAAAAGATTTTACATATTTACTTTTAGAGAGAGGGGAAGGGAGGGAGAAAGAGAGGGAAAGGAACATCGATGTGCAAGAGAAACATGGACTGGTTGCCTCTCACATTCCCCCAGCCGGGGACTTGGCCTGCAACCCAGGCATGTACCCTGACTGAGAATCAAACTGGCGACCTTTCGGCCTGCGGGACGATGCCCAACCTACTGAGTGACACCAGCCAGGGCTAACATTTGATCTTCAATCAAGTAGAAACTGAATAAATATCTCTGTCTTTCTCTGATAATATAATACTAAGTCTGGTAATTTCACCTTCAAAACTTCAAGTTCTCCTAGTGATCCAAGCAGAGCGATACTACAGATGTAATCAATAATAATATCCAGTGCTTGGCTAAGAGCTGGCAGCTAAACTGAAGGTAGCTTACAATACTGTGATCCTTAAAAACAAACAAACAAAAAACAAATCCTCACACCATCCCAATATAAGGGTCTGGTGAAAAGGTACTGTTAGTGGGTAAAACCTGGTGCACAATCCCTCCAATGATTTAATAAACTTCGATATGAACAGATTACATTGGACACCTGCTGATTACTGCTAAGTGTCTGGGGCTCTATTTGGTTCTTGCAAGCAGCAAAATCTGCCTATTTAATTCATTATGCCTCTGTTCCCCAAGGAAGTGAGGTAAAAGCCCATGTATGTTTCAAGAATGAGGCATTATTTTCTTCAGCCAAAAATCTGTAATTCCTCATTAGCCTGCCAATAGCAATATTGAAAATGGGCAGTTTCATCTGAAGCCATTTGTACCAAGAGCAAATGTCACCACTGAGGGTGGAATAGCTACAGTGTTTCTCTAGAGTGGTCCAAGTGTAAGTTTTACCTGGAATTAGAGGAATGAGTTTAACCAATACGAGCCTGTAGAATGTTTTCCGTGCCACAGAGAAATGAGGAAGATGAAGACTTCGTGGGAGTTTTCTAGAAGGCTAAATGTATTCTTTTCATTTTTCATTTTCAGTTTGCATTATGTGCATTCATGGTTTTGGTATTGGCTGACGTTTTTAACATGAAATAGTGTTAAGTGGGGAGGCAAGTAACAGAACAATTTGGATACACAAGAAAGGGTTTCCTCCAGGGAGGCAAGTGGGGAGCTGCAGGGAAAGGGAGGGAGGGAGAATTGTTCTATATGCCCTTTTGATCCTTTTGGATTTTGAATCAGGAGAATGCATTAATTATTTTTAAAAAACCAAATTAATTAAATTATAATGAGATGAGTTATAAGATGAAATGAAATGGGAATTGTATATGGCAATAGTTTCTGTGTTTACACGGAAAATTTAAAAATTGGCAATTCTGAGTCAGACTTGAAAACAAGACCAAATACACACTTAAAATTATTTTTAGTTTATTGATTTTTAGAGAGAGAGAAGAAAGGAGAAAGAGAGCAAAACATCGACTTGTTGTTCAACTGATTTATGCATCCCATTGGTTGATTCTTATATGTGCCCTACGACCTTGGCATATTGGAACCATGCTCCAACCAAGTGAGCTACCTGGCCGTGGCTAAGTACATATATTTTCCATCTATAAAATGCGAAGGTCTGGGCACTATTTTAAAATATTTCTTTTCACCCTGGCTGGTGTAGCTCTGTGGATTGAGTGAGGGCTGCGAACCAAAGCATTGCAGGTTCGATTCCCAGTCAGGGCACATGCCTGGGTTGCAGGCCACAGACCCCAGCAACCGCACATTGATGTATCTCTTGCTCTCTCTTTCTCCCTCCCTTCCCTCTCTAAAAATAAATAAGTAAAATCTTAAAAAAATAAAAAAATTTTTTTCAACAGGTCAATATTAACGAAATTCCTTTTCATTCCAGCTAAAGGAGGCACGTGTGTTGCTTCTCCCCATCACTGGTAATGTTGGCTTTGACCACTGGGCTAAGGCGGTGTCCGCCAGTCTTCCCTAAAAACTCTTGGTCGCAGTGACTCTTTTATCCTTCGTAGGTAATTTGTGTGGAGACTCTGAGGCTCGGTACATATTCTCATCAAACTCTCCCTATTTCGAGCATCCACTGATGACTGGGTAGCAGCATCATTCCTTCTACACTCGTACTTTAGTCAGCATTCTACTGTAAGGAAGAGCTTTCTCTCTGCCTCGTTTATTCATTTACTTATTTCTTCAAGCCACATCGACTCGTGAACTGTTATTTTATTTTACTCAAAGGGTTTAAGTCCATTACTATTATTAATTTTGATGCTGTCAACCAGATTTGGCTGGCGGGAAATCCTTTAAGAAAACACACACACACACACACACAAAACAAGCCTCTACAATTTAATCTGACCTGACTGCATCTGAGTGAAATTCTCCCCTCTCTTCACCTCTTTGGTTTTTGTATTAATCTTTGTAATGAGTCGATGAAATAAATGACTACTCACTCTGTGTATTCTGGCTCATTGTCTCGTGTATATCACGTGATTATATCAGGACATTGGTAAACTCCACACAGTGATGCTGTGTGTCCACAGAACAGTCAGGAAGCTCATTATCATACATGTGTAGGTGCAACACCAGAGAACAGGGGTTTCCATACCACATATAAGTCTTTTAGGCAGAGGCCACAAAATAATCAATGAGTCACTGTAAATCTTCGTAATGCATGTATACTCCTCAAGTACATAAGCTCATTATTTTACATGACAACCCCACGTTGTAACACACATGCAAGAAAAAAAATGAATAAAGCTTGAACAGTTCATTTCTATTTTTCCCATCATCCCTGGTTAGGTATCTTTCCATTAGTGCAAATAACTGAGAGTAAACTATCCATGAAAGAATAGACAGAATGATCTGTTTCATTCACTCTTTAAGTATTTCTTTGAGTAAATATTATACGTAACATAGGTACATCTTTCATACAATGTAGAGATGAAAACAAAAGTACCAGTTAATCCTCTGGGCATCAAACTAATAGGCCTAGTACTTTTCTATGTACTACAGTATTTGTTTCTTAGCCAGTCTCTACTGGTATATCAGTTTTCTGGTCCTCAATTTTGACTGCCTTTGTAATCACCTCTTGAACTTTAAACAAATTCTGAGTCTTGTACCCCATTCTAGGAGATTCTGATGTAACTGGCCTAGTGTGGTGCCTCGTAATGCGAGTTTTTAAAAGTTCCAGAGTTTGAGCACCACTTATTTAAACCACTTTGTCCTCCACCGACAGTGCCCAGCAAGGTGCCGGGTGGAAAGTGACGTTCAAAATGAATCAAGTTCTATTCTTCGGGAAGGCAGGAAGCGCAGTCTCACAAATACAAACTCTCCCATTGCCCCGGCACACAGATAACGAGGAGAAAGCAGGTCCTGCCAAGCAAGCGGTCATGGGTGATGCCGCTGTCGTCAGGTCTCTCTTGACTCTCACTAGTGTCCACGCTGACGCTCAGGTACTGTCCAGCCAAGTCCAGGAGGCCTCAGAAATTATAAGTCCATTAAAAAGTTCAGGGGTGCCAGGCTGCCTCGTTTCTAGCACGTGAGGCAGAGGCTGAAAGGGCAGGTGTGGGGGACTTTAAGCTCAGGGCCAAGTCAATCTGGGATCTTCTCTCTGCTCCAGATCCCGCAATGGGGCAGCGCTTCCCTCTCGGGTAGACGGGCATTGTGGCAGCGGGGCACTGAGGCGAGCCCGCGAGCCCAACTGGGCCTGCTGTGCCCAGACGCTGGTGTGTAGACTCCCGCGCTGGAAACCCCCGTGGCTGCGCAACTTCCAGGGGCGGCACGTGGCGCGGTGGGAGAGGTTTTCTAACGTAGCCCGCGGCTGCAGGGCGTGTGGACTACAAGTCCCGGCATGCCTCGGGCAGGGGTGGGGTGGTGCGGGTGCCGGGCTGGGAGGGCCGCGGGGCCCAGGCCTGCGCAGTGGTTCTCGGGAGTGGCGGGGCGGATCCTCCCGGGCTGTCCTCTTTGGCCGGGTACTCCCGGGGTGGGGGTGGCCGCGGCCATTGGCCGAGAGGCGGGAGGGGCGGGGTCCTCGGGAGCCGCTGCGGGTCTGGCTGAGCGGGAGGAGGCCAGCGGCCGGCTGGAGAGGCACGCGTTGGGCTGCTGCGTTTCTGTCTTGTCATGGCACCGTCGCCCCTGAAAGTGTGCATCGTGGGCTCGGGGAACTGGTGAGCGGCGGCGGGCCGACGGCACGGGATCCGCCTCCAGGAAGCCCCTCTCCGGGGCGTGCTACGGCGGCGCGTCCCTGTCGCGGCGTGGGCACCGCGCACCGCACGCAGAAAGGCGGGGCGGGCGACCTCGGGGGCGGGCTGGGCACCGCGCGCCCGGGGAGTCTGAGACGAGGCGCTCGCCCCGGGGTCTGGGCCCGCGTGCTCGCGGTGAGCCGCGCGCCGAGCGGGTACTGCGCGCCCGCGGGCACCTGTCTAAGCTCAAGTCTCCGCGCGGGGGGCGCACGAGGGCCACCTGCTTTCCACGCCTGGGTGTTATGCGCAACATCCTAAGGGCGTTCTCTATCCTCGGGGGATCGCCTGGGTCGAGGATTTGAGGGAGACTCGGATATTCTTGCTGTAGTTTCGGTCATAAGGAAAAAAGGCAAAGAGGGCTAAAAAGGGAGCTTGCTACCCAGGTCCCATGGTGGCGGCGCTACCCTTCAAAGTGCGGGTCTCCCCTTGGTAGCTGTTAGGTCTGGTATCCTAGTAACGTTGCGTCGGGAAGAAAACCCAACTTTCAACTGGCCTGTCTCCCAGAGTAATCAAGAGGCGTTGAGAATTCTCTGGGGAGGTGTTTGCGAAGCTTTGCGTCTCTGCTAGGCTTTATTTGACTTTAACATTTATAAAGCACTTTTCTGCCAGACGCTGCTCTGAGCACTCTATAATTGTTTGTTCTTTTAGTTCCGTTTATCAAACTTACACAATGAGATTCTCTGGTGTGTGGGCGAGGGGGTGTAGGGGACAGAGGATAGTGTAGAATCTGATCATTCTTATTCCATTGCCATGCACTATTTTTCTCACATCCGAGGGACTGGTATAGAATTTTCTTAATGGGTTTTTTGTTTGTGCTATTGCAGCTGTCCCAGTTTTTCTCCCTTTGCCTCCACGCCCCTGGTATAGAATGTTGAGTGATGTCCAGTCAATGTTTTTGCGTTTCTGGGGCCTGACATCCGTCACAGTTCAGGCCTTTAGGGGCTCAGCAGCCGTTTGTACCAGCTACTTGGCTCTAGTCTTTCTCTTTGAGACTTGGCCCAGAACATCTAATACTTCTTGGAGGTATTATACCTTAACTGGTTTTTTACCTACGGGTCCCCGCAAGTGCAGGGGCCCCTCCATGTGTCCACCTCTGTCGCTGACCTATCCCTGCAGGGGAATGATTTGTTTATCTGTTTCTACACCTCCCTATCCAGCTCTTGAGAACAGCATCTACCCTCGTGTCTGGCGCAGTGCTAAGTAAATACTGAGTGTCTGAAAGCTAATTTTTTCCAATGTATTCATATTTATTTAGGTAATATAGTCATGTTGTTTAAAAACCTAAAGGTACCAACAAACAAAACAAAACACTGGGAACTGTCTCCCACCTACACTAATGTCCTGGAGGTACTTATGTTAATCAGGTTTTTTTCTGTCCTTCCTGGAGGAATTCCATCAGATGCAAATGAACGTTTACCTAGGTTCCTTCCCCTCTCTGCCCTGCAGGCACTAGGGTATTGTGCACTTATCTGTAAACAACAGTGTTCTGTACAACATTTAATGGAGTTGGTAACCACCCACTACAGAGCTTCATTTCGACTTGCAGCTTGACTTGGCCTGTTTTCATCCCAAGGTCATTAGAGTGAGATGTCAGCTGCCGGGTTGGGCTTGGGACTGGAGAAGCACCCACTTAGCACGTGTTCTTTTAATGTTAGTTTCCTCTTGTGTAAGAGGCCACAGAACCACAAGTGCCACGAGCACCTTTTCCTAATTTGCAAGAGGCAATGGAAGTAGCACAACTTTGCCAAGCTGGATTTGGGCCTGGATGGGGAAGAGTGAAGTGAACCTTCTGCCCCTTCTGCTGGGACTTGGCTGCCTGCCCACAGCTTTACTCTGTACTTGACTGTTTTCTTGTCCCACTCCAGCCCAAGGAAGTGGAGTAGAACTTGGCTGATGACACTGGAGCAGGGCAATTGAGAAATGTGCTGTGCCGATGGTTTGGGCTGGCTGCCTGGCTCCATTAATTATGGGATCAGATAGAAACAGTTGTTGGCTTCCTTGCAGCTGCTGTGGGTGCAGAGCCGCTTCTGTCCTAGAGAGAGGATCACGACCTCACCGGAGATTCAGGAACCTAGGGGCTCATTGCGTGCTCGGCCCTGGTCAATAGACATTGCATGTTTGCAGGCATGCAGACACAGCTGGACACAATCCCTGTCTTTCAGAACTTCACTTCCGGATCTGAGATAGAGATTTGCAAGATAAATTCAAAAGAAATAGAAAGTGGAATGAAATATCTGTCACAGGATTGGATGTTACATTGTAAATAGTATTCCTTAAAATGCGGCCCAAGGCCACTTGCACCAGAATTCCCAATGAAGCTAGACTTGCTGAATCATATTCCCTGAGGGACTTAGCCTTTTGCTAATTTTGACACAGATTCCAGAGAGAGAGAGAGAGATCTGTCTTTCCAGATGTGGGCCTTGCCTCAGGAATGTGAAGGTGATTAAGCAAATGTTAAACTTGGGCCTTTGAAGTAGTTCAGAATGCTTATGTAAGTAAAGGTGTCGTGTCTAAGCTCCTAGCTCCAAGGTGGCTATAACACTCACATTGACTGTAAATGATCATTTGCAGTACACATACCTGAAGACAGAATCTAGCTGACTTGCCAGGGAGCTTCAGCCAGAAAGAACATGTGAGGGGAATTAAGCGTGTTGTGTAACATGCCCTTGTCTTGTCCTCTGGCACCTCCTTTCCTGTAGACAGGTCAGGGAGGAGGCTGCAGGGGGTACCCAGGCATCCAGCCCAGCCCTGCTATGCTGCAGACTGCTGGGAATGCTGGGAGCTGCTTTCCTAATCTGCATGGCTCTTTATGGCTCTGGTGCCTCAGAAAGAACAACAAAAAGAATACACACACGCACAAGGCTTCTTAAGTAACTCCAAAGATGAAACAAAGTTTCTCCATCAGAACCTTAGGAAGATCACCTAGACACGGTGCAAGATCAAGGTCTAGAGCTAACACATTTACAGCCACACGTCTGTGCTAGGGAGCCTACGTCCCAGACCTCCTTTGCAGGCAGGGTAGAGGGAGGGCTCGGGGTTCCAAGCCCTGGGTTTCCATCTTGGCAGCTCTGAGGCCTTGAGCAAACTGCTCCTCTCCAGGAATCAAGACTGATAATACTGGCACCTGCTGTCTAGGATTATGGGTAGGATTAAATGAGGTGACCCGGGAGAGTGCAAGGTGAGTAACAATAAATGTCAGCTATCATTATCATTATAATTATTAGTTGCATCATCCTTTACCAGTACCATCATGAGGTTGTAAAACGCACCCAGGTGGAATTTGGCCAAGGAGTAGGGCAGAGAACGGAGAGGCAGCAGAAGACAAAGAGCATGGCCGATACGCAGCTGGAGTTGCGTATCTCTTGCCCTTGTTTTCGCCGTCACCCCGCTTCTTGAGGCCCGCACTGAAGGTCAGGGAGCGCTGTGGCCTACTTTGCACCAGTGACTTAAGCTGTCTGTGTGTGACTACTTATTGTAGTCTGCTGGAACCTTCTGAATGCAATGCTGTGGCTGTTTGTCCACTTCTGTCTCTTGTTTGCCTTTGCTACTGTTTCTGACCCCATTCTTGGTCCACTTCCCCACGGAGAGCCCAGGCACCGTCTGAGGGTCTGTGAATCGTCTCCTCTGAGGTCAGAAATCATCCCTTCCCAGGTGACAGGGAGCGCCTCTGCTTTAGAGGCTGGAGAGAGAGTTTAATAATAGGATGGGGTAGAGCTAAACTGGCCAAAGATCCAGAGTTCCTTCTGGCTGGGGCGAGAACATGTGTATAATTAATAAATAACAACAACAAGCTGATACGTGGTCACCTGGTTCCATCATTCCCTCACCTGCTCAGTATGCAAATCTGGTCTACTGTTCTAGGGGTGAGTCGGGGCTTATTTTATCTCTTGATCTTTCACCTCTTAACCCTCTTTCCCCTCTCTCATCATTCTTCTCTTTCCCTTGCTCACCTCCCTCAGGGGACGGTCAGAGTGACAGGTACCACTTGCTGGTCATTTTCTGTGTGTCAGGTACCTTGTTTCATTTAAGTCTTGTAATAAGCCCGTGGGGTACTAGTGTTAGCCCTACTGTGGATGACAAAACCGACGTCCGTGGTCCACCTGAAGTTGGAACCCAGATCCTCCTGACCCCAACGTCCAAGCGTCTGTGAATTCTTATTTTCAGTGAGAAGCATACTTTTGCCTGAGGACAAATCTGGTCCTCAGTATGCTTGTCGTAAACATACTGAGTACCTTACCCTCCTAACTGAAGTCTAGTATAACAATATTCTGCCCAAGAAAAACTAGATTGAAACCAGGCCTTAGAAATTGTCATGATCAGCCCTGGCTCGTGTGGCTCAGTGGATTGAGTGCCAGCCTGCAGGTTGAGAGGTCACATGTTCGATTCCCAGTCAGAGCACATGCCTGCGTTGCAGGCCAGGTCCCCCAGCTGGGGGCGTGTGAGGGGTAACATCAGAGTTCTTCTCCCTCTCTTTCTCCCACCTACCCTAAAAGTTAATAAATAAAATAATTTTTAAAATTGTCGTGTTCAGTTTCCCTCTAAGGCAGGCATCCCTTATTTTGTAGATATGACTGATGATCGTAGTTTGCTATTTTTAAGGCAACTGATTTTAAAATTAATCTTAGAAAAATTATTAGAAAAATTTTATATTTAAGTAAAAATATCCATCACCTCCAACACACCCTTTAATCTCAGAACAATGCCTGGGTGAGCCCACTCTTTTCTAAAACATGTTCCTTAGGGTAGAAAAGTCGCATCTCCACTAAATCTTCTCTGTGGCAGCCGAGAGGTATCCCCAGGTCTTTGTTGGTGGGATGTGGTGTCTGGGGTCCTCCCCATCCAGGTCACCCTCTCTCCCTTCTTCTTCCTCTCATCCCCTGCCCTGTGCCCGGTGATGTCAAGAGCGACGCTCAGTGGCCCTCTGG